CTGCCATCCGGCTTGATCCTCCTCAGCATCCTCTGCTCCTCCACGAAAATTTCCTGCTGCCTCTTCCGACGTGTAGCCGCAAACTTGCGAACATAAATGCACGCATGGACAAATGCGATGACCCCTTAAAGCCGCGGTGCAGATATCTTAGGAACAGTGACAAACAGTTTTTTGTCTTGTTCCTTCCTGGTCGCCAATTGGCTAGCGAGAGAGTAGATAATGTTGCGATGAAGAGAAAAAGGAAACAACTGAGGCGAACGTCGCGAACCTCGAAAGTGAGGGGGAAGCGGAAGGGGTGGGGGGAGGGAAGGGGGAAACACACACGACAACGCGAAAATCGGAACCCATGAATACGCCGTCATCTCTACATTGCATAACGAAAGAGTTTGTATTTCAAATAAGCTGAGTACTACACAAATATAATATTCTGCGACTCAAAGGCACATTCTAGGATTTCAGAAATATCAAAGTTTGGGGTGGTTGTTTCATTTCTTTTTTTTTGGGGTGCAACGAATGTACACATGGCAGGCAAACATGAGTGTCTTTAAATCCAACATGGCATCTCCAAGATGAGCTAAACTTCACACCCCTCTGATCCATTATTGATGCAGCTGTCCACCGATAGCAGGGGGGGAGGGGGGTAGGGAAGGACACCAGCCGTAGAAGTGAAAAATGTTCGATGGGGAAATTGAATGGAGGGTTGGCAGAAACAGTGGGGTGCGCGAAGGTTCAAAGTGGTGGGGTGGGTGAAGGGAAGTAGTAGGGTGGGTGAAGGGATGGCCGGGAGAGGGGTGAATGGTGGGTTGGGATAGGGGGAAAGGGAAGGGATGGGAGAAAGGGAAAGGAAGGGTTTAGGAATCGGGGGATGCCTTGAAAGGACAAGGGTAGGGTAAAGGGTGGATGGTGGGGGAAGGAGGGACGGACACCGATGGAAGGAGGGACGGGGACGGGGGGAAGGTTTGAACGGTAACAGGGAAAGGAGGGACGGCGGGAGTGGGGGAGAGGAGGATTGGTGGTGGAGAGACGGTGGGAGCGAGCCGCTTGCTACCGTCGCGCCCAATCCTGCCTCCTGGGAAGGGCAAGAGGCTAAGGTATCGACGGACAAGGGGAGTTCGGGAATGGGGAGGCGTGAAACCGAAGGTGTGGCATAGGAGGATGTGCCATGGGGGATGGTGGCAGGGGGGAATGCCCTGGAACAAACAATCTCTCACGCTTGAACTAGGACAGGAATGGGATAGGACAGGGGGAAGGAGAAAGCGACAAGGGGAATGGGATAGGACAGGGGAGGGACAGGAGAGGAGGGAAAGGGATGGCCATCAGAAGGGTGAATGGTGGGATGGGATAGTGGGAACGGGAAGGGATGTGAGAGAGGAAAAGGAAGGGTTCAGGAAAGGGGGAAATGAGCAGGAAAAGCAGCGACGGTAGTGGGGGAAAAGGGACGAATGGGGGCAAGGGGACGGATGAGAGCAGGGGGGAGCAGTGGGTTGGGAGAGGGGAAAGGAGGGAGGGAGAAGAAGGGGAGGGAAGGATAGGGGGACAGGGCAGAAAGAACAGGGGGGAGGATTAAGCATCAGGAGGAACGAAAACGATGAAAGGGAGGGAAGGACTAAGGGGAAAGGGAGAGAATGACAGGGGGAAAGGGTGGGAAGGACATGGAGGAAAGGAGGGAAGGACAGGGGGGAAGGGATAGAAGGAGTGGGGGAAAGGGAAAGAAGGACAGGGGCCTATAGCATCGATCGCTGCTCTTCCCACCCTTTCCCCCTGTCCTCCTCTCCCATTCCGGCCCTGTCTGCTCGCTACCCTTGCCTTCGCCGCATCGCTACCAATATCGCTCGCTAAAGCCACTTGCGAGGTTTGGACGCGAGATGCTTCGCCACCGACGGAACAGATGCTTCGCCACCGTCGGAACAGATGCTTCGCCCCGCTGCTCGCTAACGACACCCTGCTGCACGCTAACGTCGCCCCGCTGCTCGCTACTGTCGTTATCGCTGCTCACTATCGTCATTGCGCTGCTGTCGCCATGCTGTTCGCTACCATCGCAACCCTGCTCGCTGCCGTCGCAACCCTGCTCGCTGCCATCGCAACCCTGCTCGCTACCGTCGCCGCTCTGCTCGCTATCGTCGCCCCGCTGCTGGCTACCGTCGCACCCAATCCTGCCTGTCGCCATCGTCGCTGCTTGCCACCGCCGATTCGTGAGAAATAGAGGGACGGGAGAGGGAAAACTGAACGACGACAGCGGAGGAAATCTAGCGCAATGCGCTACGGGTACGACTGCCGTGGTGTTTTTTGAGGTACGAAATAGCGCAGATATTCGAGCGCACACTAAAAGGCGAAGAAGAGAGATAGATATGAGGCGAATGGCTCTCAGTAGCCCTACGGGAAGGCACTTCAAGTTAGTAGTAACCTAGCCTAGCGCGAGAGATTGCCGAGTTTGAGTAGTTTTGAGTTCAAGTTTCAAGTTTGATGCCTGGCCCCCCCTTCATGCTGCGAGGCACTTTTCCGCACGACCTTCCCCCGCTCTCAGAATGCTCTGCCTGCTCGACTTCCAGTGTATACTGGGTAACGCGCCCTTCAAGCTATAATACTTTGAACTGGCGCAGAGATATCTGCACCGCGGCTTTAATGAACGCAGCACCAACTACCCACCACCACCAACTCGCATTTAATGCTGTTTGTGATCCTTCCGAAGTTTCCACGACGTTTCATTGTTCAAACCAATCGTCATGTCTGGACAACCTCCAACTTTGTAACCGCTTCGTAATGATGAGATGCAAGTCTATCTTCACTGCTGGATCGCGTTCCGACAAGAGCTGAACTTCTGTGTTCGGTGAATGGTTCAGCGATTCGGCAGCCTGTTTTGTCACTTTGTCGTTTGGGCAAAATGTTTGTACTATCCAAAAGTCTAAGGGTTGGAAGGAAGACATGTTCTACTCGACAAACTGTACACTACAGATGATGCTCGCGAAATCGCCCACCCTCACTCCCAGAGTGGTCAGCTTTTACAGCCAACGGCCCACTCGATACACGCCCAGTTAAAACCCTTTACGCGACCCTTGCGGAAGAGTTAGCGAACATTTCGAAAAATAATCAAGCGATTCAACCAACTGTTCAGTTGATACAGTTTAGGCCGATAACCCGGATACTACAGACAGTCCCAAACCGCCCCAGAACTTTGGTCAGATCCAAACAGTCCCAACTCCCCGAAAATTCCCTGGGACTCACGCACACTTACTGAAACAATACGCCAAAAGGGCAGTACTGTAGCTTCTGGCGCAGGGTTTCTGCCAGTTTTTTCGCTCAGTACGCAGAATTAGCTCCTTTCTTACATGCGTAGAAAGGAGCTAATTTGTGGCCTTTTTCTTCGGAAGGCATCGGGTTTGAGGTGGCGCTTTGCGTATTGGTGTGCTCGTGGACAACTCAAGTCTAGGGGTTTAGTATGTACACCACCAGGCGTATGAAGAATTAGAAAGCCTCATTCAGTTGAAATTGAATTCATGATTCAGGAACCCAAACCAAGTCCTCCTTCCCCGTCAGTGAATATGCTTCCAAAGGTGGTCGGACACAAACAATGGTCTGTTCGAATTGGTCCCCTCACTTTCACTGCTGCCCTGGGCTGAACTGTACAGTAACAAAATCATACACCCTCTTTTTCAACCTTTTCACCTTGCGCGACTCGTCGCTACAGTACTTGTCTCATGCGATCTGGTGCCAATAAACGTTCCTAGGCAACCTGGGGGGAAAGCCGGACCACGTGACAAACTGGCTCAAGGACGTAAAATCTCCGTAATCGCTTCATAACTTTCCCAAACAGATGAAAACGTTGACAACGTTTTTTGTAAAGTGCATAACCTTACCTAACCGCATTTTTCGCATTGTGCTTGTAGAGTAGGTGACAAGACCATTCTGAACGTGGTGACGTTCTACAATCCATGTACGTTCTCCAACCAGGTGCTCTACTAGCGCGAAATAAGGTGTACATTCTTTGGTGTCCCTTCAGAATTGTGCAACTACAGTTCTCTCACGAACTGTGCAGTGGAGGTGGCGTCAATGGAAGATCCAACTAACTCAACCTCAACCGGCCCACATCACGTGCATGTATGAGCTTATGTCCCTCGTACCTTAGTGAACTGCTTTTAAAAAACCGAAACCATTCTGTACCGTGGTACTTTTCGTCGACATCCCCTCCACATCCACATTTGCTCCTGAATTGAAGCCATTTCCAAATGAAGGATTCTTCGTGTCTGTCAATGACAAGCTCCTAGTTTCTATATTCAGTTTTCGCATTCCATGCCTACTTAGAGAAAGTTATATTCTGAACGTTAGGTATTCCATGCACTTATTTTCTTTTGCCATGATAACACACTGACGCTACTGACCTTTTTGCTCTCGTTAAGACTAAGCCTGGGTATTCCTTTTGGTAGAATGAGTACACGTTTGGGAGGGTATCGCAGCGCGTCTGACGGCATAACGTTTCACTTTCTCCCGTTATCCAGTCAAAAGTCGGCCATGACTCCATCATGCGACGCGGTGACTCTCTTTGTCGGTAGCGACGCGGCGAAGCGAAGGCGTACGATGACATGCTCGTACGCGTCTCGTTTCGACGACTTACCGGTAAGCAAAAACATCACAAACGCAACAATCCACGAAATATCCTCCGTTGCTAGCTCGTCGCATTGCGCTGCCGCATCGCAACCCACCCGCGTCGTGCTGCTTCCCCCGCCTCCTCCCCTCGGTTCCCCCGCACGTCGTCGTTCGCCTTCGCTTCGCCGCAAACTCTCCGCAGTGCCGTCTTCCTCGCGGAGTACTTCTCCTCGACATCGCGGAGAGTTTTAGGCGCCTCAAAACTCAAGGAGCACCCCTCCTCGACATCGCGGAGTTCCCTACGTCGCGTCGCATCGTGACCTCAAAATCGGGAGTCCCGCATTTCACACGATTTTCCCCTCCCCGGCGCCATCGCGCTCGATGTCCTTGCGAGAAGAACTAACTCACATTCGAAATCCATGGACCGCCGGAACTCCGCCGGAGCTGCGCGGGGGGGAGATGAATCACGCCCCTCCCCTCCCACACCCCCGCCGCAATCCCACGCGGCGCCTCCGCGTTCACTCGTCGAGCGTCACACCCCACGCGCGTCGACACGTGAATTGATTTTCCCTCCCGTTTCCCCCTTTCTTCCGCGTGTCCATTCCCCCCAGGACGAGCTCGTCACGTGCGTTCTCCAGCATCTCGCGGCGCGAGCGCGCTCCCCCGCGGACCTGGTCAACGCGTGGCTGACGTGTCGCCGCGTGTGCGCGCTAGGCGTCGAGCCGCACGTGCTGAGACGCGCGTCGCCCGCCGCCATGGCGGTGTCGGCGCCGTCCTGGTCGGACGGCGCGCATCGGTTCCTCAAGCGTTGCGCCTCGGCGGGCAACCTCGACGCCTGCTACTCGCTCGGCATGGTCAGTCCCCATCGTCGCGCGCTCGCCGCTCAGTCCGTCGTCGTCATCGTCGTCGTCGTCGTCGTTTTCGTTCGCTAAGCGTGCTACTCGCTCCGAATGGCAAGTCCCCATTGTCGTTCAAGTCGATCGTCGCGTATTAAAGGCACCTGAAAGCAGTTTGTTGCTGCATGACTGACGTGGCGAGGATGCGCACATCGAGAATAGAACACCCAATGGACTTAAGCCTGCCTACATCGCACCTTGGTTGAGCCGTCCACGGGCGCTCGCCAGCCGCTCGCGCTTGCGCCCCCGCTCGTTTCGCTCGATTCGCTCGCGTGACAAAAGCGTTGCGCGCGTTGCTCTCCTTGCTTACTCACAGACGCCCTCTAAATCCTCACTCCCCCCTTCCTCCCTCTCTCCCCCCTCCCATTCCTCCCCCCTCCCGTCCCCCCGACTTCTCTCACCCCGACCCCCACAGATTCAGTTCTACTGTCTCGAGGACCGCCGCGGCGGCGCGACGCTGCTCGCGCGCGCCGCGCTCGGCGGGCACGCGCACGCGCTGCACTCGCTCTCCGTGATCCACTTCAACGGCAGCAGCGGGACGCGCCTCGACCGCGACCTGCTCGCGGGCGTGCTGCTGTGCGCGAAGGCCGCGGCGCAAGGCCACGTGGAGGCGCTTCGGGAGCTAGGGCATTGCCTGCAGGATGGGTATGGGGTTCCGCGGAACGTGGCGGAGGGGAGGCGGCTGCTGCTCGAGGCGAACACGAGGGAGGCCGCTACAGTTGCTGTCGCTACAGCCGCTACTGGCGTTACAGCCACTACAACGGCTGCAGATGCTGCTGGAGCCTCTGCAGTCGCGGCTGGAGCCTCTACAGCAGTTGATGCAGCACCAGCAGGGGCAGCAGCTGCTACAGCCGGAAGAGCGGGTACAGCATTTGCAGCTGCTGCGATCTCTCCACCTCCTGTAGCAACACGCGCACACGCACCTTGGCGTCCAGAGGCAACAGAAGCTGTTGCAGGGGGGTCTTTCGCAGCGGGGACAGTCGCAGAGGGAGCATTCTCAGGAGGGATAGTCGCAGGGGAGACAGTCCCAGGGGGGACAGTCGCAGGGGAGACAGTCGTAGGGGAGACAGTCGCAGGGGGGGCAGTTGCAGGGGAGACGGTCGCAGGGGGGGCAGTTGCCAGATTAGCACCTGGAACGCCTGAAGCCGCGGAAACTGTGAGAATTGCATGGGGAACGGGGAATACCGAAGCAGCAGCAGCTGTGGTAGTTTCTCCACAGAGCCATTTTACCCGGCAGGTCCGCGTTATAAATGACCCCAGTTCTGTTCAGCAACAGTACAGGGGTCAGCTACAGCATTTTCACTACCAGCCCCAGCACCAACAGGGTATTACAACTTCCCCAGCCCAGCCGTTCCCAGTTCAACCGTCCCCCTTCCCAGTTCAGCCGTCCCCAGTACAAAACTTACCAGCTCAACCTTTCCATATTCAGCCCCCTGAAACTCAACCCTCCCCAGCTGTTCCCTCTCAGAGTCAACCCACCCAGCAATATGTCTTCTCGTCCGTAGCTCCCACAATTCCCCGCCGAACCTCCCGGCCTCGTTTGGATCTCCAAGCCCTGCACGGCTTGGCTCGGGCTCGCCGAGCCTATGGCGCACTGGTGTCCCCTGCTGAGGCTGCTGAAATGCTCCGAGCCTCAGCAGTCACTGCCGTGCCTATTGCTACGGTGCTGGCGAGAGAACCAGGGGCTGCCATGGCAGCAGCAGCAGCGGCAGAAGAACTGGCAGCACCATCAGCAGCAGTAGCAGCAACTGCAGCAGCTGCAGCATCGACAGGAGCCGCAGCAGTAGCATTACCAGGAGCACCAGCAGTCGCAGAGACAGAATCAGTCCCTCATGTGGAAGCAAGGCCCCGAGTCCCTGCTGACCAGGCGAGCCCTTATGTTGCTGTACCTGAAACAATACCTGAAACAACACCTGATGGTGCTGGCTCTGCCCAGACGCTCAGGATGCAACATGCCATTGCCACACAGCTGGTTCAAGGTGGGAATGTAGAGCACCTGCTGCACGATAACCAAGCCGCACTGGAATACCAGCAGCAGGCACAGCTGCAGCAGGTGCAGCAGCAGCAGATGCACCCTACAGGCCATGCACGCCCTGCTGGTCCAGATGCAGTGAATCCTATGGCTGTGTTGCCCTCCTGTGCAGTGTATGGTGTTGGCTACCGCTGCTGCTGCCTCCCCACAGTGACCCTCCCCCCGTTTTCCTGGCACGCTGCTGTGCATAAATTCCTTGTAGACTGGCATGGCATTTATGGTCTCCCTGAAGGCCTTCGGCTGTGCTCTAATTCATGCTGCGGCCGGTCGGAGACGCGGCGGCAGGAGTTTAGGTGCTGCTCTGCGTGTGGAGAGGCTAAGTACTGCAGCAGAGCGTGCCAGGCATTGGATTGGAAGGCTGGGCATAAGTTGGTTTGTGCAATGTTGCTTGCGACTGTTCAGAGGCAGCAGCAGCAGCAGAGGCAGCAGATGCAGCAACATTTGTTCGTGCACCAACCTTATGGACAAATCGCAGGCCAGCATAATCATATCCATGGTGCACGTGAGAATCAGCAACATGCCGCATAGCAAGAGCAAATTATATTGCCAAGGATAGTGGATTTCATGTGAACCAAAAGAGAAATTGTTGTACTGTGTGATGTAGTGGGTTTCACCAATTGTCGTAATCCCATTTTCCTCTGCCAACAATATAATAATTTCCGGTTTGCTTCCAGCCGTTTCACACCCTACGTGTCACTCCCCCGCTGTGCGAAACGTCATGCGAGCCAACGAGGTGAAAGCCAAATCGCCTGGTTATGTGATAACCAGTTTTTGACGGCTGGCCGTCAGGGACCTCGGAAACGAATTCGAGATTGGTCAGATTCAACACTACACAGCCATATAGCCGCTGATGTGCACTGCGCGTTGATGTCCTCACTCGCCGTCATCTTCGCTGCACCACTCAGAATCCCAGAATGGCTCCCCCCGTTTTGTGTTTCTGCTCTGCGTCACCCATCTCCCTTGAAACGAAAAACTTGTTGGGAAAACTGCTTGCTTGTCTCTGCCTTGCTGTTGTTTTCACTGTACTTGTTGACGCAGCAAATGAGCAAGGGGCTCAGGGCACCGTGCTGCAGGTAAGTCTTTCTTGCCAAACGAGTCGTCTTCCAGTCGTCGAAACGTTCCAATTAGAAATATCATGCCATTACTGTTTCTCACGGAGGCCAGGCTGTTCCTGAAGCCTCGAATTCGTCTTGGGAAGCTGGAGGCGCATCCGGTCTGCGATTGGTTGTGGGGCCGCCGTCCTTTCTGCTCAAAGGACCAATCGCGCTCAAACTCGCCCTTTCCCCGTCGACCCAGCAGGTATCGTGTTTACATTCTCACGGTTTGTCCCTTTCCTTCAAATATGTTGGAACTGGGCTTGTTCATACAACGTGTCATGGTTTCACGTGGCATGCTTGCAGGTTGAGTGGACATGGGTTCGCAGTAGCTTTACAACCATACCCCCTCAGCTCCAAGTCGCACTCATAGGGCCTGGCGCCGCTATTCCTCTTGCAAACTTCACTGCGACAGATGTCAACCTCACCGTATCTGGTAGGTGGTAGAGTATTATTGTTGCTATTCCAGCGCGCTGTTCTATGAAGTGTGGTAACACGGAGAACGCTTTTTGAGCAGGTGGAAATTTCACAACCAGCCCGGAAGGGAACTTCACCTTCACTCCTCAAAACGCCTCAGTTTTGTTTGGTCGAGTTACGGGGAAATATTTCGGTGAAGATGTGGACCTGAAGAACGTCTACGTGGACATCCCCAGCAATCAAATCACAGATGTCGCTGGCCAGATATCTGGAACTGTACGTCAAGTGTATTATTATCAGCACCTACAATGCTTGCTAGACTTGATTCTCTGCTCACTCTCCTTTTCATGATTGTTTTTCAGAATACTTCTCTTCTGCTGATGGCTGACTCAGACCCTATTGTCCGAATTAGGTGTGTTATCAAATGCATGGCTGCACTATATGCACTGTACGTCTTTATATTTGTAAGACCTTTTCCATGACCATTTGTGAGCAGGGACGTGCTACAAGCTGTTCAGGCTGGTTCTGGCCTCCTAGGCTTAGCGGGTAACTCGTATTTGCAGTTCAGGCTTCATGTTAATGCAACAGGGCCATTGACTGCTCCTGCCTCTGCTCCTGTTCCAAGTCCAGCTCCTGCTCCAAGTCCAGCTCCTGCTCCTAGCCCAGTTCCTGCACCAAGCCCAGCGCCTACTCCAGCCCCTGCAGTTACACCTTCACCGGCACCAGCGCCAACTCCATCGTATGGAACCCCCCCTACATTCTCGCCCTGTAAACCTGTGACCTGATTTTTACACTTGTTGTGCAGGGTCTAGCCAGTGAGCTTTCTTGACGTCGGCAGTTGTGTTAAAGAACAGCAACGTTAGTGAGCTGTTGGATAATGCTTGCTAATACTATTTAATCGGTGAAATATGTGCAAACGACTTACTGGTGTTTATATCGCAAAATTGACATTATATCACAATCTAAGCGACAGAGAAGGAAGCGATGGTGCCCTCCACGAACTTCTTGGCACCCTTGAACCACCTCTTGTCACCGGAGGAAGCCTTGCAGATGTAAAGCGTGCCGTTGGACACGGCAGCGTTGAACAGCTGGTGCCTGCCACCCTCACCGCCGTCAGCAGTACGGGTGAGAACGTTCAGCTTGTAGTAGGTCTTGCCGTTCGCCTTCTCGGTTGAGGACTCCAGCACGGAAGCGGTAACAGCGGCGTTCTTCTCGAAGCCACCCTCGGAAGCGGTCTCACCAGAGAAGACCTGGACACCAAGGAGGTTCTTGTACTGCAGAAAAAAAAAACCCAGACGTTAGAAGGCGCTACCGTCGAACCAGCTTGGAGTGTAACCTAGAATGTGCACTTAGAAAATTTACCTTCTCAAGGAACTCCTCAGGGGAGCCGAAGTCGCTGATGGAGGACTTGGTGGTGGGCTCAGCAATGACGACCACGTTAGCGAGGGCATCGAAGTTGTCCTCATATCTCAGGACGATGTTGGCGAACTCGCCGACCTCCTTGCTGGGGTTCCACTTGGAGGGAAGGTTAATGGAGAAACCCGCGCCCTGGTAGGGAATGTAGTCGGTGTTGCCGGGGCCCTTGCCGAAAACGTTGGCTGCCAAGGGAGGAGGGATGGCGAACAGCTGAGTCAACGTTCCAAGTCTAACGAAAATCTTAAGTCAAATGAGCATCCCCGAAGGCACACGAGCAAAGCGGATGCATGTGACACACGCTGTCACGCAGCGAGAACGCTGGCGAGGATAGGACGGAGCTGCGAGACGTACCAGCCTCGCCATAGGCAGCCTGAGCGGGGGCAGCCTTCAGGGTGAGGGCAGCAGCGGCACCAGCGAGGAGGGTCACAGCGTTCCTGCGGGAGACAACAACCTCCTCCTCGGACTTCTGGGCACGGCAGGTGAAGGCACCGGCCTTGGTGGCCACAGCCTTCTGGGGAGCAGCAACGGCCGCGCCGGAGAAGGAAGAGCTGAGGCTCTTCAGGGCAACGCTGGTAGCCATGGAAGCAGCGGCAGCCATTGCTTCAGGGTGAATGACAACCAGAGATTGCACTGAGATGGGTGAGATCGGCGAATTGAGGAGAGCTGCTGAATTCCCGAGGAAGATCGGAGGTGGTCCCTATGTGGTTCCCCAAGTCACTAGGTGCCCAAGCACGATGTTTGGTTCTGGAGGCAAATTGTCAGCGATTTTGCGACCCCTCGATTCGACATGTGGATCGCATCCAACGGACGAATAGCGTCCGAAATCGAGTTACGGATGATTCTGGGCTCCCGTTCCAAAGATAAGGATAGCTCGTGTCCACGTAAGCAGGTTTTCTTCGCCAACCAGAGCAAACACTGTGCAAGGTTCAAATGACGAGGGTAGCGAAAGCTTGCGCGAGATTGTTACTCATTCTGTCTGTGTAATTGTTCAGACATTGGTAGGTTGTCAACTTAGAACATATACAAACAAACCCGCCAATAGAGCACAATATATATAATTACATGTCTTCTACATTCTATTATCATCACATTAAACGCCTGTATCACATTGCAATGAAGCTAGCCAGTGAAAAAAAGTTGGGAAACTTATTATTAGCTGAATGAAGGAACTAACTAGAAAGTGCCTTTCTAGGTTGGACATGTCAACCCTGTAATTAAAGCTGCGGTCTACATACATCTGGGTGTTTTTAGGGGGTATTTCTATTGCATACCCTCTGACACACGTTGATTCGCTTGCGAACAGGCTCCCGCTCGGAACTGTGCGTGCGACCCAGTCCAAAAAGACTGGCGGAACTACTCAGTTTCGCTAGGGACGATGGGATGGGAAAACAGAATCAAGCGATTTTTTGGTTATTTCGTGAGGGGAGGAAGGGTTGGGGGAAGAATGTCGGAAGGGCGGAAGCCCTAGGTCAAGTTTTTTTCCCTGTTCGATAACCTTACGGAACGGGGACGTGAGGTGTTGGTTCTGTGAGTTTCTTCCCGAACCAGACGCGACAATTTTTTTCAACCGCTAAAAGTCCTAGTCCCGTTCCTTTGCAGGCGAGACACCTGTTATCGAACAGGGTCTCGATTGTTTGGGAACCCCCAGTCCTCTCCCTCTTTCCGCCTCGATTGTTTTTTCACAGACGGGTACTTGGTTCACCCAGTTTTCAAGTGATAAACCAAGGCCTGTCCCTGGAGGTATGTAGACCGCAGCTTTAACTCATATCTCAGGTGTGCCTCCATCCACATTCCAGAACCAGAACAATTCATTTCTCCCTCCCATGCTGTGAGCACACCAGCATTTGTCTAATGCCGAAGGCACTGCATCAAAGTTGATATGGTACATCGTACAGTTGTATCACGATTTTTTATTCGTCTTCATGAGGCTCATGATTCCTCCGTTGGAATCCCAGCCAGTAAAGCTTGGTTCCTCATCAGTTTCTACAGGCTGCCTACAACAGAAACTCTGTTTTTGGTTAGGTGCTCCTGCATCCACAGATGCTCCTGCGCATTCCTTGCTGACGCCGAGAGTTCAGCTTAGGAACGTAAGTGCACCGACGTCCTAGCCTCGCAATCGGCTTTGCATTCAGCAACCGTTATTGCACGCCTGAAAGAAAAAGGAGATTGTCAGTGTGCTCGGCCCTTTTGACATTTCGTGCCGCGAGATTGTTCCGGTCATGATAGAATGAGTTTCTTCAACTCCTCACCGGGGTTCTTCTCATCTCCCTGAACCGGTTCTTAGCGACCTTCGCTTCAGTTTCGCTGTTTCGCAAGGCGCTTTCGCGAAGGTGGTTGCGACTGCGGCATGACAAGGCGAACGAGGCGACGTACGGGAGGTCTCAGCGGTACGCCTGACGTGGACATATCAGGCACCGCTGCAGCGGCTACCAATGAGGAGGTGACACCTGTCAGCCAGAGAGGCCGATTGCGAGGGACGGTAGGGCGAAGTCTAGCTTCCACTGACACGCCAGGCGGGTCTGTCAGGCTCGTGCCTGCCACCGCCGCTGCTGGTGCGAATTCTTCTGCGACCCGCGCTCCGAATCCTGCGAATCCCGCTGCGACTTCTTCAGCGACCCCTGCTGCGACGCCTGCGACTGCCTCTGCGACTTCTTCCGATGCTGCCCTTCCGCATCCCGCCTTAGCCGATGCCGACACCACCGCTGATCGCGCAGGATCGCGGAACTCGCTCGCGCTTCCCCCCTTGCTCGAAGTCTCCGCGGAAGCTCCGCCACCCGGTCCCTCCACCGCGTCCTCTTCCGCGTCCGCGCGCTTCACCCCCGAATCCGCGCCCAGTTCCTCCGCCGCAGACGCTCCGCGCTCGCCGGCGGAAGTTCCCGCCTTGTCCGCGGAAGCGCACGTGTCATCCGCGCTAGCTCGGCAGCAAAGCGGCTCTTCCGCCGGCGCCGGCGCAAGCGCTGGCGGAGGGCATGCTAGTCGCGCGCGCGGGGTGAGCGCGGTTTTCGCGCGCCTAGACGCAGTCGCGGCGGAGACAGAGGCGGAAGTGGAGATTGCTGACGCGGCAGGCGGAGAAGGCGGAGGAGACGCCTTGTTCTGGTCAATTGATATGACAGAAAGGGAAAGAGGAGGGGAGGAGGGGAGTGAAGGACAAGGGGTGGATGGGATGGTTGAGAAGGTGGGTCAGCTGGGAATGCGTGAGGAGGTAGGGTTACTAGAGAATGGTTGGGAGGAGATTAAGTTGGTGGAGAGGTGTGAGGAGGTTTTAGAATTGGTGGACGAAGCGGAGGAGGGTGGGGAGGTGGGAGAGGAGGAGGAAGCAGAGGAGGAGGAGAGGGAGCAGCAGCAGCAGCAGCAGCAGCGGCAGGATCAGAAAGAGGAGAAGCGGAAGGAGGACAAAGTCGAGGTTGGGAGGGAGCAGGAGCGGGCAGGGCAGGGCCGGCAGAATCAGCAGGCGCAGGAACAGACTGAGGGTGAGGAACAGCAGCAGCAGAAGCAGAAGCAGAAGCATCAAAAGCAGAAGAAGCAGAAGCAGAAAGAGCAACCACAGGCCAGCACCAGCCAGCAGCACCCAGCCACAGAAGCACCGTCCGCACTGAACAACCCAGCAGCCCAGCAGCAGCAGCAGCAGCAGCAGCAGCACCCAGCACGAGCACACCCCCCTGACTGGACCTCTCTCCCAGCCGAAATCACCCTCCGGATCTTCTCCCTCCTTGCATTTCGCGACCTCGCTCGAGCATCCTGCGCCTGCTCCTCCTGGTGCCACCTCTCCTTCGCGCCCTCCCTCTGGACCACCCTAGATCTCCGCTGCTACCCCCCTCTCTCCGCCGCTGCTGCGGATTCCCTTGCTGTGAGGTGCGCAGGAGCGCTGACCCGCGTGCATGTCAAGGGGGCGGAGTCGCTTCGAGCGGTGGCCAGGCTTGCTGCTGGGTTTGGGAGGTTTGACAGGTGTGGAGAGGTTTTGGAAGGTTCTTCTGGGGGTGCTCGTGGTGGGTTAGGGGCTGTGGCCTCTGCTGGTGTCGCTGCTGCTACTTCAGCGGCTCCTCCTTCTCATCCTGCTCCTGCTCCTCCTCCTGCTGCTGCTGCTCCTTCTGCTGGCGGTGCAAGCGCTGAAGGTCCCGATAGGGCGGGTGGCAGTGGCAGCAACAACAGCAGCACCGGCACAGGAAACCTGTTCAGGGGCACAAATGAAACTGGCAAGCGAGGTTGTGAGGGCTCTTCTAGGGCCTTCCCTTGGACCTCGTTCCGAAGCTCTTCCCGGAGCTCTTCGTCAGGCTCGGCCTATGCTTCTCCCCCAGGCTCTTCCCTTCAGCACCTCTATGCTAACTCGTGTACCGATCTCTCTGACGCATCCCTCGGTCTTATCCTCGGTCGCCACGCGCGCCTGCGCCAGGTGTCGCTCTCCCATTGCGAGAGGCTGTCCCCTGACGCAATCTGCGTGCTGGCGGAATCCTGTCCGCGTTTAGAGGATCTCCATTTAAACGGGTTAAGGAGGGTCGATCTGGCTTGCCTTGCAGCCCTAGCACGGCACTGTCCGCGGCTATACAATCTCTCGCTCGTTAACTGTCTCAGGTTCGAGGATCGGGGAGGCGTGTCGCTGCTTCAGCAGGTCCGGTATCTGTCCCTGTCAGGTTCGGACGTGTCCTGGCATCGGGCAGCTTCAGACGTGGCTCGGCTGCCGAACCTGCAAGCCATAGACGTGTCACGCTCGGACATCTCTCCCGAAGCTGTCAACCTTATTCTAGCATCTCCCTCCATTCTCCTCGTTGCTGCTTTCAGTTGTCCTGAGCTGGAGACCTTTCACGAGGCCATCAAGATGCCTAGCAAGCCCTGTCTTTTGCTATTCCGGTTCGGCGATCTTCGTCTGGCTCTCCTTGCGCTTGCCCTTTCCTGCAGCGACCCCTCTTGCCTCTGGAGCTTCTACCAGCCTAAGAAACCAGCGGCACAGCCTGTGGGAGGCTCGGGAGCTGCCGAGCCTGGGGCTGAGGCTGGGAATGGGAATGTTGGATCTAGAGATGGTAGCACGTCTGCCGCAGCAGCAACGGTGGCCTCTCCTACAGCAGGAGCATCATCAGCAGTGCCATCTGTAGGCACAACAGCAGCAGCAGCTGCAACACCAGCAGCAGCAGCACCAGAAGTACCAGCAGCAACACCAGAAACACCTGCAACAGCCACATGTCAGACTCCCTCGGGACGCCAGACCAGGTCTGCTACAGCTGCTGCTGCTGCTGCCGCCGCAGCTGCTGCTACAGCCCCAGTTGCTGCTACAGCCGCCACCGCTGCCGCTTCTACAACTGCTGCCTCTGGAGGTAGAAGAGGTGGAGATCGAGGAGGAGGACGGGGAAGAAGGAGAGGGGGAGGAAGAGGAGCAGCAGATGAAGAGGCAGCACCACAAGTAGCAGCACCAGCAGTAGGAGGAACAGCAGCAGCAGCACGAGCAGCAGGAAGAGGAGCAGGAAGAGCAGCAGCAGCTACGGCTGCAACAGCAACTGCAGCAGCAGCAAGCACGCCAGCGAGGGAGGAGGAAACCAATCACACACCCATGTTCTCAGCCCCATCCGCGGAGGGCGCTGCTGTTTCAGAAGAGAGCGCTGCTGCTTCAGAAGAAAGCCAAGTCAGAGCACTCGTGCTCCACATTACCAGGGCGCTGGGCGGCGGTGGGCCTCGCAGTGCCTGCGTGGAGCTCTCTGATTGGACGGAGCTGATTCTGGTCCGAGCTCTACACTCATTGGCCGAGAGGTTGGAGCCAATGGGGTGGGAAGGGGGGTGGGGGGGAGGGGCAGGGGGAGGGGGAAGGGGAAGGGGGGGTTTGGGAGGTGTTGTGGGGGGAGGAGGTGCGGGAGGAGGAAGGCAAGGGGATGGGGCAGGAGGAGGGGGTGTGAGAGGTGGGGAAGGGGGGGTGGGAGAGAGGGGAGCGGGAGGGGGAGGTGGGGGGGGAGAAGGAGGGAGAGAAGGAGGAGGAGAAGCAGCAGCAGGAGGAGTTGTAAGGAGAGGGTGGGAGGCGAGGGAGGACTTTTGGGTGACTCAGGGCATTCCCGCTGTGCTGCTGCTGCTGCAAAGCCGGCAGGAGGAGGTGCGAGAGAGAGCAGCAGCGACAGTCGGGGTGTTTGTGGTCGCAGATTCTATTGGGGTTGGATTCGAGGAGGAGGCGGAGGCGGAGGTGGTGGAGGGGGAGGAAGAGGAGGGAGAGGTGGGAGCGCGGGAGGGAGGGAGAGGAGCAGGATGGAGGGTGGGGGGAGGCGGTGGGATGGGGGCAGGGGAATGGAGAGGAGAGGGAGGGGTGGGTGGAGGAGGAGAGGGAGGAGGGGGAGGAGGGGGAACGGGGGGGCGACAGGGGGACGGGTGGGATTTAGTGATGGGAGGGGGCGGGGGAGTGGGGGAGGCGGGGAGCAGTGGGCGGGTGAGTGCGTTTATGCGAGGGGGCGGAGTGGAGGTGCTGGTTCACATGGCAGGCCGGCACGGACCAGAGGGGCCACGATTCGAAGCAACTAAGGTGTGTGAGTGTGGGGTTAGGGGCTGTATGGGGCGACTATATAGAAACAAACTTATAGCTTTTGAACACCCTTCCACCCGTCTCAACCCCTTTCACCCCATCCCTTCCTTTCCCTTGCCACGCTGGCGAATCTGTCAGCGAGTGTAGACGTGGCAAGGGAGGTGGTGAGGGTGGGGGAGCTTTCAAGAGCAAGCTTACATTATTCAAACACCCTTTCCCTTTCCCATCCCTCCATCCACCCCTTTCCCGCCCCACTGCCCCACACACCAGGCCCTGGCGAATCTGTCAGTGAGTGTGGACGTCGCAAGGGAGGTGGTGCGGGTGGGGGGAGTGGGAGTGCTGCTCTCTCTCCTCGCTCACTCCAACGGCTGTATAGCCGAGGCTGCTGCAGGGGCGCTCTGGAATCTATCAGTCACGGACGAATACAAGGTGGGTGGGTCTGGACTCGTCTGGAGAGAGGTGGTGAGAGTGGAGGGAACGGCCGAAGCTGGGGTGCTGCAGGGGCGCTCTGGAACCTATCAGTCACTGATGAATACAAGGTGGGTCAATTTGGTGGCTTTTGAGTTGACAGACAAGACTCCCCACACATCCCACTGCCTCTTTGGCCAAGGTTGCTGCAGGGGCTCTCTGGAGCCTGTCAGTGGCCGATGACTTATATTTGGGCTCTTGGGTCAGACGATGGGTGCAGCCGATGCCGTTGGCTCCTCTGGGTGTTTACCCCTCGTTATCGTCCTGTTGCATGTGCATTCCCTCGTTATCGTCCTGTTGCATGTGCATTCCCTCGTTATCGTCTTGTTGCATGTGCATTCCCTCGTTATCGTCCTGTTGCATGTGCATTCCCTCGTTATCGTCCTGTTGCATGTGCATTCCCTCGTTATCGTCCTGTTGCATGTGCATTCCCTCGTTATCGTCCTGTTGCATGTGCATTCCCTCGTTATCGTCCTGTTGCATGTGCATTCCCTCGTTATCGTCCTGTTGCATGTGCATTCCCTCGTTATCGTCCTGTTGCATGTGCATTCCCTCGTTATCGTCCTGTTGCATGTGCATTCCCTCGTTATCGTCCTGTTGCATGTGCATTCCCTCGTTATCGTCCTGTTGCATGTGCATTCCCTCGCTCCTCTTAGTGCGGAATTGTCCTGTCCTTTCCCCCTCACTTTCCGCTCCTCCTTCCCCCTCCCCTTCTGCCTCCCCTTCCCCCCATGCCATCCTCCTCAGACGTACATCATGCAAGCAGGAGGCATCGCCACTCTGGTTGACCTCATGGCCACAGCTCCTCCTCCTGCTCTCGGCCTTCCAGGGGACTGTGTCCTCGTGAGTCCTCCTCTCTGCCTGCCTGCCCTCCGCTCATTGTGTGTGCCTCTCTCTCTTATGGTCATGTAGACTTGACTGTGTCCCCGTGACTCTTCCCCTCTGCCTGCCCCTCCTCTCATGGCCACTGCTCCTCCGCTTGCTCTTTTCCTCTCTTCTGGGCATCACTCCATTCACAGCATTGCCTCTCCTGTGTCCATCTTTTCTTAATGCTCCCTTCGCCAGCAGAAGTGGGTGACAGGCGCCCTGGCGAATCTAGCGGTGGAAGACGGGTGCAGCACGGCCATAGTGGCAAACTGTCCTCCCCTCGCTGCTTCCTCCTTCGCTCCTCCTCCCCCTTTTTCTCAAATGGACAGGAGAGGGTGACAGGCGCCCTGGCGAATCTAGCGGTGGACGACGGGTACAGCACGGCCATAGTGGAGCGGGGAGGGGTGGCGGCGCTGGTGCGCGTTCTGGTGGGGTGCCGCCACGACCTTGTGCTTCAGCAGGCTGCCAGGGCGCTCTTGAGGGAACCCCTCTTGGGCCGCAACCACAACCTCTGTGAACCCCACCCCCCCGCCCCCTCCTCCCCCTCCTCCCTCTCCTCCCCCCTTTCTCGAATGGTCAGGAGCGGGTGACGGGCGCCCTGGCGAATCTAGCGGTGGACGATGGGTGCAGCACGGCCATAGTGGAGCGGGGCGGGGTGGGGGCGCTGGTGCGCGTGCTGGTGGGGTGCCGCCACGATCTGGTGCTCGAACAGGCTGCCAGGGCTCTCGCTAACCTCGCAGCCCACGGCGACTGCAACCGCAACTCCGCTGCTGTTGGAGCTGAACCCACTGCCGTCCCAGCGCTTGTTGCTCTGCTGCAATCCCCCAATGAAGCCTTAAGGTGGGTGGGGTGTGGCTATAAGAAGAGCATGTGCTGGTGGGGTGCCGCCACGATCTCGTGCTTGAGCAGGCCGCCAGGGCTCTCGCTAACCTCGCTGCTCATGGCGACTGCAACCGCAACTCCGCTGCTGTCGGGGCTGAGCCTTCTGCCGTTCCTGCGCTGGTTACACGGTTGCAATCCCGCAATGAAAGCTGAAGGTGGGTGGGGAGCTGCTCGAGGGGTGCCGCCGCGACCTCGTGCTTGGGCAGGCCGCCAGGGCCCCGAATGAAAGCATAAGATGGGCGGGGTCTGACAGAAAGGCGAACACAGCAGCATCTGGAGCATCAACTCCATACTCCAAAATTAAGCGTTTCCTTCTTTCCCCTCTCCTCTCCCCACTAACCTCCCCCCCGCGGCACAGGCAAGAGGGAGCAGGCGCGCTATGGAATCTGTCATTCGACGATGGCAACAGGGAGGCCATCGCAGCAGCAAAAGCAGCTGGAGCACCAATCCCTAGATGCCTAACCATTTTCTTCTCTACTCTCTTCCCTTCCACAACCCCGGCACAGGCAAGAGGGGGCAGGGGCTCTCTGGAATCTATCATTCCACGACAGCAACAGGGAGGCCATCGCAGCTGCGGGAGGGGTAGAGGCGTTGGTTCGGCTGGCCCAGGAGTCGTGCTTGCCAGGCGCAGCAGATGACACCCAGGAGCGAGCTGCTGGCGCCCTGTGGGGCCTCTCTGTGTCTGAAGCCAACAGGTGCGTGTTGAGTCAGTACTGGTGGGTGCCCTGTGCCCGGCCTCTAGCAGCAGGGGAGGGGGGGGGAGTAGAGCTGGGTCGCCTGGCCCAGGAGTCGTGCTTGCCAGGAGCAGCAGAGCACACGCAGGAGCGAGCTGCTGGCGCCCTGTGGGGCCTCTCTGTGCCTGAAGCCAACAGGTGCGTCCATGCTGGTTGCTATACGCTTGCTTTGGTTTCTGTGCTGGTGCGCCTGGCAGGAGCGAGCCGCCGGCGCCTTATGGTAGGCTTGAGCAAGGTGGCGAACACCTGTTCGGTTCGCCTCGAACGTGTTCGAGGCGAACCGAACAGTTTTTGTTTTTCAGCTTAAATCGTTCGCCCGAACGTGTTCGATGTTCGCCCGAACACGTTCGTGTTCGTGGCGCTGCTGCAGAACGCCCCGTGTCGAACACGAACGTGTTCGAGGTTCGCCCGAACAAGCCTCCACAGGCGAACAGCGAACACCTGTTTTTGGCTAAACTGTTCGCCGAACCGAACAGTGTTCGGTTCGGCAAAAGGGCGTGTTCGAGAAGGGGCGAACACGAACATGTTCGTGTTCGCCCTTTGCTCATCCCTACCTTATGGGGCCTCTCTGTGCCTGAAGCCAACAAGTGTGCTCCTGCTTGCTTAGTTCTTACCCTGCACTCACATTCTCCTGTGTTGCTCTTATGAAGCTCGTTCGTTCCCTGATTTCCCGCTGCTGTGCTGTGCTGTGCTGTGCCCCTGTGCTGTACAGCCATAGGCTAGTTTTGAGACGTCTCAAAACTTGCTCTTATGAAGCTTGTTCGTTCCCTGATTTCCTGCTGCTGTGCTGTGCCCCCACGCCGTGCGGTCATAGACTCAAAGCCCCTTTGAGCCCTCACCCCTCCTCTGAGCTCTCAGCCGCTGATTCCTTCCATTTCTGTTCTGTGCCCTCATGCAGTGTGGCCATAGGCCGGGCCGGTGGGGTGGAGACTCTGCTCAGCCTTGCCCAGGCGCGCAAGCAGGTGTGTGCAGTGCTGCATGGGGTGCGGGGCTGAGGGGGTGGCATGGGGTGAATGCAGAATGGGGGTAGTTGTGTGCGCCCATGCAGTGTGGCCATTGGCCGGGCAGGTGGGGTGGAGACTCTGCTCAGCCTTGCCCAGGCGCGCAAGCAGGTGTGTGCGGCTGCAGCATGGGGTGAAGGGGTAGTGGGGATGAAGGGGTGGTGGGGATGAAGGGGTGGTGGGGATGAAGGGGTAGTGGGGAGGAAGGGTTAGTGGGGATGAGGGGGTAGCATGGGGTGAGTGCAGCATGGGATGCGTGCAGGGATTATGGGAATTATGGATGAGTGCAGTGCAGCATTGATTTATGGGTGTTTTTATACACACCTTTGTTTTTTTACACCTTTGTTCCCTCCCATCTTATATCCCTTCACAAACTCCCCGTCTGGCCCCATCCTTTCACATACTCCCCATACTTCCCATCGTTCAACATCCTTCCCTGCTCTCCTTACAGGAGGTCCAAGAGACTGCCACTGGCGCGCTTTGGAATCTAGCCTTCAATCCAAGCAATGCCGCCCGCATTCTCGTGAACAGTGGCGTGCCCATCATGGGCGCAATCATTGCTGCCTCCCTGCCGCCCTCCGCTCTCTCCCACTTCTCCTCAGAACCCCCCTCCTCCTCCCCTTCCTCTACATCCACTCCTAGAAGCACCACCACTGCCCACACTTCTCCATCTACAACAAACCCTGCTGGTGCTCCCGGTGCTGCTGCTGCTCGTGCTGCTGGTCGTCGTGCTGGTGGTTCTGCTGCTGGTCGTGCTGGTGCTGCTGTTGCCACTGTTGACGGCTTTGCCTGGCACGAGCTGCTGCCGCAGCCCCCCCCTCCTCCCCCTGCCCGCACACAACCTCCCCATCCTGTTTTACCCGACAATCGTAACCAAGCTGCTGCTGCTGCAGCGACAGCGGCTGCCCTGCAGGCTGTTGCTGCTGCCACTGCCGCTGGTGCTGGTGCAGCTGCCACTGCCGCTGCTGTCCGTGCTGCTGTGGCGGATGCTGATGCTGCTGCCACTGCTGCTGCTGGGGCCATGGCTGCTGCTTCTCCTGCTGACCGTGCGGGTCAGCATGTCTCCTCTCCCATGGCTGGATTCATGGCCTCGCTTGCTCTGGCATACATGTGTGATGGAAGGTAAGCCCATATGTGTGATGGAAGGTAAGCCCATATGTGTGATGGAAGGTAAGCCCACATGTGTGATGGAAGGTAAGCCCACATGTGTGATGGAAGGTAAGCCCATATGTGTGATGGAAGGTAAGCCCATATGTGTGATGGAAGGTAAGCCCACATGTGTGATGGAAGGTAAGCCCATATGTGTGATGGAAGGTAAGCCATATGTGTGATGGAAGGTAAGCCCATATGAGTGATGGAAGGTAAGCCCACATGTGTGATGGAAGGTAAGCCCATATGTGTGATGGAAGGTAAGCCCATATGTGTGATGGAAGGTAAGCCCATATGTGTGATGGAAGGTAAGCCCATATGTGTGATGGAAGGTAAGCCCATATGTGTGATGGAAGGTAAGCCCACATGTGTGATGGAAGGTAAGCCCATATGTGTGATGGAAGGTAAGCCCATATGTGTGATGGAAGGTAAGCCCATATGTGTGATGGAAGGTAAGCCCATATGTGTGATGGAAGGTAAGCCCATATGTGTGATGGAAGGTAAGCCCATATGTGTGATGGAAGGTAAGCCCATATGTGTGATGGAAGGTAAGCCCACATGTGTGATGGAAGGTAAGCCCATATGTGTGATGGAAGGTAAGCCCATATGTGTGATGGAAGGTAAGCCCATATGTGTGATGGAAGGTAAGCCCATATGTGTGATGGAAGGTAAGCCCACATGTGTGATGGAAGGTAAGCCCATATGTGTGATGGAAGGTAAGCCCATATGTGTGATGGAAGGTAAGCCCATATGTGTGATGGAAGGTAAGCCCATATGTGTGATGGAAGGTAAGCCCATATGTGTGATGGAAGGTAAGCCCACATGTGTGATGGAAGGTAAGCCCATATGTGTGATGGAAGGTAAGCCCATATGTGTGATGGAAGGTAAGCCCATATGTGTGATGGAAGGTAAGCCCATATGTGTGATGGAAGGTAAGCCCATATGTGTGATGGAAGGTAAGCCCATATGTGTGATGGAAGGTAAGCCCATATGTGTGATGGAAGGTTAGCCCATATGTGTGATGGAAGGTAAGCCCATATGTGTGATGGAAGGTAAGCCCACATGTGTGATGGAAGGTAAGCCCACATGTGTGATGGAAGGTAAGCCCATATGTGTGATGGAAGGTAAGCCCATATGTGTGATGGAAGGTAAGCCCACATGTGTGATGGAAGGTAAGCCCATATGTGTGATGGAAGGTAAGCCCATATGTGTGATGGAAGGTAAGCCCATATGAGTGATGGAAGGTAAGCCCACATGTGTGATGGAAGGTAAGCCCACATGTGTGATGGAAGGTAAGCCCATATGTGTGATGGAAGGTAAGCCCATATGTGTGATGGAAGGTAAGCCCATATGTGTGATGGAAGGTAAGCCCATATGTGTGATGGAAGGTAAGCCCATATGTGTGATGGAAGGTAAGCCCATATGTGTGATGGAAGGTAAGCCCATATGTGTGATGGAAGGTAAGCCCATATGTGTGATGGAAGGTAAGCCCATATGTGTGATGGAAGGTAAGCCCACATGTGTGATGGAAGGTAAGCCCATATGTGTGATGGAAGGTAAGCCCATATGTGTGATGGAAGGTAAGCCCATATGTGTGATGGAAGGTAAGCCCATATGTGTGATGGAAGGTAAGCCCATATGTGTGATGGAAGGTAAGCCCATATGTGTGATGGAAGGTAAGCCCATATGTGTGATGGAAGGTAAGCCCATATGTGTGATGGAAGGTAAGCCCACATGTGTGATGGAAGGTAAGCCCACATGTGTGATGGAAGGTAAGTGTTAAAATATATATTGTGTAGCATGCCAACACATGTGACTGTACACCAATTGTGGTGTACAGTTGGGTTGGGACTACACCCAACTTTGGGTGTAGTCTTGCACTTTGGGGTGCCAATCCACCCAATTGTGGTGGAGCCCCCAAATGCAACCCTCTTGACTTGTGGGTACCTCACTTCCCACAATTGAGGTTACCCCAAGCCAAGTGGGCCTAGGGTTGCCTCACTTCTACAAAGTGTGGGCAACCCAACCCACTTGACCTATGGTTCCCTCACTTCCCCAAGTGAGGTCAACCCAACCTATGGTCACTTTCATCCTTCCCTTCCAACCTTCCCTTCGAACTATGTATGCTAGGTTGTTCCTCTAATCTAATCACTTGTTCAATTTGCTACTTTCACATGGTATAGAGCTACTTGTTCCTAGGCCTTACCTCTCCCTCCCTTCAGTTTTTTTTTTTTTTTTTTCCCATGGGCCCACCCCACAGCTACAAACCCTTTCCTACGCGTGGCTCAACTAGCCATCACTAGCATACTCTCGCCGCGACCTACGCCGTCGCCGCCGTTCCCCCCCCCCCTCCCGCCGCGATTACGCCTTCCTCGCCTGCGGATTCCACCGCCGCGAGCGCAACGCCGCTGTCCCCTCCTCCCCCCCGCCGCGACCCCCTGTCGCCGCCTCCCCTTCTCGCCGCCACGCCTGATTCGGCGCCGCCTGCGCATCCTGCCGCCGCGACGCCTCGTCGCCGCCTGCCCGCTGCCCGTCCCTCCGCCGCGACGTCACGTCGCCGCGTTCCCGCCGCCGCGCCTGCTACGGCGCCGCCTGCGCATCCTGCCGCCGCGACGCCTCGTCGCCGCCTGCCCGTCCCTCCGCCGCGACGTCTCGTCGCCGCGTTCCCGCCGCCCGCGCCTGCTTCGGCGCCGCCTGCGCATCCTGCCGCCGCGACGCCTCGTCGCCGCCTGCCCGTCCCTCCGCCGCGACGTCTCGTCGCCGCGTTCCCGCCGCCCGCGCCTGCTACGGCGCCGCCTGCGCATCCTGCCGCCGCGACACCTCGTCGCCGCCTGCCCGTCCCTCCGCCGCGACGTCTCGTCGCCGCGCTCCCGCCGCCGCGCCTGCTTCGGCGCCGCCTGCGCATCCCGCCGCCGCGACGCCTCGTCGCCGCCTGCCCGTCCCTCCGCCGCGACGTCACGTCGCCGCCTCCCCTTCCCGCCGCCGCGCCTGCTTCGGCGCCGTCTGCCCGTCCCGCCGCCGCGACCTAACATCGCCGCCTGCGCATTCCGCCGCCGCGACTGCTCGTCGTCACCCCCCCCCCCCCCCCCCCCCCCCCCCCCCCCCCCCCCCCCCCCCCGCCGCGATTTCGCATTGCCGCCTCCCCTCCCACCGCCGCACCTGCTTCCGCGTCACCCACGCATCTCGCTGCCCCTTCTGCATCGCCACCCTCCCGCAATTTCCCCCGCCGCAACTGCAACATCGTCACCCCGCGGTTCCCGTTAACGCCACTGCGCCGCCGCCGCCCTACCGCCGCGACTGCTTCGGCGCCGTCTGCCCATCCTCCACCGCGACCGCGCCATCCCCGCCCACACTTCCTGCCGCCGTGACTGCCCCGTCGCCGCCTGCAGATTCAGCCGCAACTGCACCCTCCCTTCCTCCTCTCCCTACTCCTCTCCCCCCCCCCTCCCCCTCCCCCTGCGCCCCTCGTTGCCGCGGCCTGCCTGCCGCCGCCGTCCCTCGTTTCGCCGCCGCGGCCCTTCCGCCGTCGCCTGCGCCCCTCGTCGTCGCGGCCTGCTCGCCGCCGCCGCCCCCGACTTTGCCACCGCCTCCCCTTCCCGCCGCCGCACGTTCGCACAGCCGCCTGCGCCCTTGTCACCGTCGCTCCCTGCACCTTGAACGCCTCTGCCCTCCACCGCTGTCTCCCTCCTTTACCCCCCCCCCCCTCCCCTCCCTCCTCCTGCCAGCGGCAGCAGCAGCGGCAGCAGGGGAAGTGCAGCAGCCTCCGCAGCAGCAACTTCACCCTTGGCCGCCGCGGGTCCACCCGCCGTCGCCCATCATGACTGCTACCCCCCCTGCCCCTCTCC